ATTATTAATTTTAGGATTTACATTATTGTACAAGACAGAATGTGGCACGAAGTCCACTCGACCGACCACGGACAAAATGTGTAGGACTCAGTCTCCCTAATACTGTGGGATTCTATTTTCGAGGGCCATGAGAGCTTATCACACGTGAGGAGAGATCCACTTACCCCGGTTGGGGCAGTGCCCCACTTGGGAAGATACCTCGAGTGGATAAAATCGCAAGCCGACGGGTAGGTTGGCACCGAATGTCCCGTTCTGTCGGAGAAAGTACACCGCCATCTCCCGAGATATAGCATCCACCACATTTATAGGACTAATACCCATAGTAGTGGACGCGTTCGGAAACATTACTGACTCGCGCGAAAACGCGGTGTCTCCCTGACAGCTGCACTCCGGCCTTGGATGCCTACATCTTCATTTAACCACTTTGCGATAACCCATACGTTATCCCTGGCGTTTAGCCCTGGATGAGCGGGGCGCGTTGCCGGCTGTCAAGACGCAGTGGATCCGCGCAGGAGGCGCAGGCGTATTTACAAGACATTTCGCGGCCGCACGCGGAGCCTCCGCGGCGAAAGCGTCACGATATTTGCAGTTTTACTTGTGCGGATCAATACCGAGATGCGACGCGCGATCTGTTCTCGCATTCCCGCACCCCTCCTCTTCCTCGTCTTTCTCTTCCTCTTCCGTGTCTCTCTTCCTCTCTCTTCCGCCTCTTTCTCCTCCTTGTCTTTCTTTTCCGCCTCATTTTTCTCCTCGTCATCTTTCTCCTCCTCCTCGACTTTGTCGTCGACTTCATCTTTCTCCTCCTCCTCCTCGTCTTTCTCCTCCACCTCATCTTCACCTCGTCTTTCTCCTCCTCGATCATCTAATACTCCTTTTTTAATCATCCTAAAAGTTATGTTTTTCATCATCTTCCCCCTCATTGTTTTTTCCTCTTCTTCTTTTCTTCTTCCTCATTATTCTTTTGGCCCTTCTCTTCTTCCTCCTCTTTCTCCACTCTCTCTTCCTCCTGATACTCTTCAATATCCTCTTTTTCTCTCCTCCTCCCATGCGCCTCGCCCTCCCCGCCGTTCCCAGGATCTCGACTCCTTGACTGCCAGCGAGTACCACGCACGGCGACGCCAGAGAAGCCCCGGCGCAGGCTAGATTAAGTCTCTCGGCGTGATTTTATTTTCTCACGTTGGTGTGGATCCACTCCGAGTTCTTCCTCTATGCTGCCATCCCTTACTTTTTTCTTCTTTTTAGTTTCTTGCAGAGTAACACTATTTTTCTGACCTGATATAAAACTTGCTTGATATACGAGAAAGAAGAGTAATATACGTATTTCGAGACATTATTTGTTAGCTGTTTAGAAATTCCTTTTCTGTGATGTTAATTGCACGCTATTTATGATTAATACGTGTGGTGTCTTCATGAATTATGATATTGTTTTAAGACCTCAATTTTTTTGAGTTAATGCTGCTGCTTTGTTGTAATTATCGTTTTTTGTAACACAAACCATTTGTGAGCTTTTCAATTTTAAGCTTCGATGGCTCTTCGATTTTCTACACCAACATGACGGGGTTCAAAAAGGCACTACTTAACTGGTGGAGCATCTTTGAACCCGTCTTCGGTGACTTGAAATGTGTTTACTGCGGGTCTTATAAGGCAAAAGTCTACAGCCGTTTGTGAGAACCGTCGCTAGCTCTATAAACATGTTTTGACTTCATTGTTCTTTGAGGATTAGAGACCCTTCCTCAATCGTCAGATCAATCAACATTTTTAGCATTGAAAAGATTTCTCTCATGGACAACTCTGATATTTTAACGAAACAATCCTATATTTGTAGTAAACGGGTAACTGCAGTGTGTCCGTGTGTCTGTTACTCACGCTCAAACATCTTTTGTTCCACCATTCGGCGCAAATAATGCGCCGGCGTTCTAATGAGAAAATATCCATTTTTACCGATCTTTTCACAACATTTATAACAATGCAGATATTTCAGAGTTAAGCTTCTAAAACATACATTGGGGGTTTTAAGGGCCTACAGAGGGATGTATTAGGATATTTATACCTGTATCAGTATAATTTTAAAAAAGTATTCAGTAAGAACAAAGTATAATTTACTTTGTCTTATGAAAATATTGATGGGTTTCAGGAAATATTCTATTACATTCTGCACTGAAATAGAAATACGAAAATTGGAATTATTCTATTATTCGCTCAAAATATTTTACAAATTAGTTTTATTTACAGGCCAAGTTAATTACTAATTACTTTTCCTCATAATACGATATTTGCGGCATCTAAAATGTTTTAATAAGCATAAAACGTATATTGTGTTACTCAGATGTATGTGTATTGATCATAGCGCTTCGGGTGGCCCATGGACAGCGTGATAGGTTTCCGTCTGGCGGTCCGGAGTTCAATTCCCGTCCGGGGTAAAAATGAAGCGTAGCTTTCTAATACAAATCGTCTTATTTCATGTATTTGTGTGACGAAAGAAAGCTCAAGCAGGCCAAACACGCTAGAAACGGTGATGGGGTTACGACATGCTCGTCTCATGACTCCTTTACCCCCAAATACGACAAATACATACTGCCAAACGTTTGGGAAACAGTTTGCTTCGGTGACCTCTTTATGTTTGTGTGGAGAGAATATCTTCATTAATAAAACCTGTTCTCCAAGAAGTGACGAAAAGGACGTAACACATGGACGGCGCTATTTCCTTAGCAGCTTCCTACGCGCGTCGAAAGTCCCTAATCGCCGGCTGGCACGAGGGCTCAGGGTTACGCTAGTGCAGCATTAGTAAGTACATCCCGGCAATATGGGCCCGTGGATCACTTCGGTGTGAAAGTAGAGAGGCCATGGAAAGTACCATGGTGGCCGCGCCGGATGTTAGCTAATTTCAGCCGACGGGAGAGAAAAGTGACACACTCACCTCAGCAGTGGTTTCTCGAATGACACGTACGAATCAAAAAGGTAATACTCTCACATATCTAATATCTAAAATCATACTCTAACATATATAACCTTATCTAAATCTTATCTTATCATAATCTTATCTTTATCTAAATGAGGTGATGCTCTCCGACCTGGGAGGCATCACCCCATTCAGGCATTACGCCTTCCTTAGTTGAAATAATCGGATGGGTTCGAATCCAGACTAGGGAATGGATGTTAGCATGTACACTATGTGATCAAAAGTATCCGGACACGTCCAAAATGGTGTTATGGTGTGGTCGTGTTATTCATGGGGGGACTTGCACCCCTTTACATTTATCACGGCACAGGCCTACGTTGATATTTTAAACACCTTATTGCTTCCCACTCTTGAAGATCAATTTTGGTATGGCGATTGCACCTTTCAACACGATCGAGCATCTGTTCATACTGCACGGCCTGTGGCTGAGTAGTTACACGATAATAACATCCCTATAATGCACTGCCCTGCACAGAGTCCTGACTTAAGTCCTATCGAACACCTTTGGGATGTTTTGGAACGCCGACTTTGTACCAGAATTCACCGACCTACAACGACACCTCCCCTCAATGCAGCACTCCATTAAGTATGGGCTGCCATTCCCCAAGAAACCTTTCAGCACCTAATTAAAAGCCTGCCTGCGAGAGTGGAAGCTGTCATCATGGCTAAGGATGGGCCAAAACCCTATTGAATTCCAGTATTACCGATGAAGGGTGCCACGAACTGGTACGTCATTTTTAGTTACGTGTCAGGATACTTTTGATTACATAGTGTATATTGTGGCAGAGTTGGGCTTTCCCACCCTTCATGTATTTTCTTTCAATCCTCTTCCTCCCATTCTTCGCATTCATCATTATCATCTCATTTTTCATCGTCGCAGTCTAATTTCTACCTTAGTAAGGACATGGGTTCGCCTCCAACGTAAGGCAGGATATGTCAGTTGTGTTCTAATACGGTGGACATTCCAAGTTCACGATGTATTGCCTAAATGAATATTTTTTTTCTTGTAATTCGTTTCCCTTCTCCAGTAACACACACACACGAGCCTTTGGGCCACAGCCAATCAGCGCAATCAATGCGATCTAGGGGTAGTCTGTACTTCCTACCTCTAAACCGATTTAAGCACTAATAGGCTCACGAGCTACGCTGGCAGCGAAAGACAAATATTATGGCGAACACGGGCTTACGAGCTACGCATGAATTAATCATCTGAATTTGTTGATCAATTATTTTGTGTTTCCGGGAACGTTAACGGGTATCGTCATTAGTGCAGTAAGTGTAGTGCCTGTTTTATCACGGAAGGTGGCGAGATCTGTGTAGTGAGATCCGACGCCGATCTACACGTCGGGTTTTGAGAGGTTTGCCCATTCAGGTCACTGGCTGTGTGGTAGTGTAGTGCATGTGTGTGTAAGTGTATGTAAGGGATGAGAATAGGACAAGGAAGAGGAAGAAAAGATAACGCCTAGACCTTGGCTCATTTGTTAAGGTACTTCACCGGTATCCTCCTGTAGTTGATGAGAGAAACCACGAACAATTGTAGATCACAGGTGCCGATCGTCAGAATTCTGCTCCAAATAGCGACTGAATCCAACTTGGCTATGTAGCTAGTCGAAACTCCTGCCTCCTTCGGGACTCGAACCCTAGGACCTCGCGATCAGAAGCACTGCAGTGACATCAATGACATCAGTTGATGCCCTAAGCCACCTTAGCCCGTTTGCATCTGGAATAAAGACTAAGTGGGCGGGAATCACCGAAAGGTGTAAAGGACGAAAAATGAAATACGAAATCAAATGTGATGATAGTCGTGCAGAAGACGAGTGAAACGTGATCATTTTCATGTAAACTCTATTGAGTCACGTGTCTTTCAAAACGGGGATGAGGCATTACAGCTAGTAAGCGAGGTCTTTCCTTGAATGTGTAATCCCGTTTTTAGGAAGGATGCGAATCCAACTTGCGTTACTCCATTTCTGCCCTCTTTCTCTTCTCGGGAACAGAAAACGAGCTTCGCTGTACTCGAACGCGGGCGTCGCCTTGAGCATCAATGCTCTTCGAAAGCTTCTTTCCGAGTTTGCGTAAGAAAATTAGACGCGAAGTCCTTTTAGAAGCCATCGCAACATCAAGAATAAAAAATCGTAAACATTTCGTCATGCAGCACGAGGCGTAAAAATTGCAGCAGTCAATGGAACCGCTGGGTTGAGCGAGCTTAAAAGACCTGTCATTGCAAAATGCCAAACGTTTTAATGGAAAATGATATTTCCTGGAGAGGAGTAGCTGAATTGCTTTTTGATTTTTTCTCTAGATATTTTCAGTTCCCAGAACTATTTTTGACTAGTGTATTTTTGTATCAACCAAGCTGCTGAAACATGTTTTAATGCCACGATGTTTTTGAATTATGTAAAGGATGAAGTAAATGTCGAGTTGGCAAGACGTCTTCAATGTCTAAATTTTCCTTCATTCTCACGATTTTTACATAAACTTTATTGAAGGATAAATGAAAATGTTTCGTGTTTCCGTGCCAGTTATTCATTTTATGCACTCATGTTGTTCTTTCTGAAAAAGTCAGTGACTTGTTTGTGTTTACAATAGATAATGACAATTGCCAACAATGTTAGTTATTGGTTCACTCAAGAAATGTATACCACGTGCCTTCTCGTTTTGCTACATTAGTACAATTTCATTTTTGCAGTGATGAACAAATATTTCAAAGGCATAAATGCAATATGTCGGTACAGAATTCTACACGATTCCAATATTATTTATTTAATTTTAGAACTTATTCAATCACATAATTTTCTTCTTTCTAAATTTGTGAGCACTTCAGCACCTTTCCCTTCAATAACCTTCAATGCTATTGTATCATTCATTGCTATTTGTATCTTCCTTTCAGGCTTCAAAAATAATCTCTTCGTAGCCGCAAGTAATTTAAGTTTTATAAATTATTTTATAGCCGCTTTAAAAATTATTTCAAATGTGAATATCACTTTTTTAAAAACAACAACACAAATTTAAAGTTTAAATAAAAATTGTCAAGTCCAGAAGATTGCTCAAGCGAACGATCACCCCAGTCACTTCCATCTAGATCCTTCTACACCTTCGTCTCCTAAAGGAAAAGAAAAATCGAGTCTCCCTCCCCCTCCTCCCCACCCGCCCGTCGGTGTCCGGCTTGGCGAACTCAGGCGCAAAACGGTGACAGGCCGCGGTCGTGTGGCAGAGTGGACGAAGCGGGCGGGTCGACGGCACGGCGGGGAGGGGGCGGGGGCGGCGGGCGGCGCGAAGCGTCGGGCGAGGCGGGGACGAGGTCGTATGATGCAGCAACGCGGCGCCGACCGAGGTCCAGGCAGGGGGAAGAAATACATAGAGGCGAATTATTCGCTCCAATGATCGCGAAAGAAACAAAAAAAAGTGGAAAGTTGGGAACCGGGGAAGGGCGACAGCCGGAACACAAGGAAACCGAAAGATTTTTGGACGAAAGAACGAAGAACTGTTTGTGAAACGAAGGACAAAAACTAAGAGGGAGAGAGAGGGGGGGAGGGACGTATCAGAGCCAGAGGAAGAAAATGAGGAAACTCTCCAGAAAGAGGAAATGGTTTCGGAACGGATTCTGTGCTTTGAAAGGGCCTCAACGTTAACTGCCGTCGATCGCGGACTCTGCTCGGTGACGTGTGGAGCGGCGGCGGCGGCTTCGACGACATCGCGGTCGGCTGACCTTTGCTCCACCATCACTCCGGCCCGCCGGTCCCATAGGGCGCGCCCTCTCATCGCCCCTTCACCCCCGTCTCCGTCGGACCCTGTCACACTCCGTAGGTGCTAGTTAAGGTTTCTACCTGCAAACCTAAATCGAACGGTTGGGCTCTTTTGCCTTTGATTAAGTTCGCAGGGGCAACCCGTGAAATGCCGCATGGCAGTCCTAAAGAGTTTCTTTTGACACGAGCGCAAGCCACGAAGGGAACATGTTCTAAGTATACTATAGAACGAGAAGAACGCACCTCAATCCCCTTTTCAATTGCTTGGAAAGAAATCTAATTCATACCAAACTGTATCGTACCGTTCTGTGATAAAAGTATTATCGTCCTAAACTGAAACGATCGATGAAACAAAACAGGCAAAATATGCATAGTTTTCAAACCTTTAGTGTGAAAACACGCTTGCTGGAATTCAATATACCATCTAACGTGCTTTTTATTTTAGGGCGTCACATTGCTGAATTATTGTGCTTAATAGCTTTTTAAAGGTTATTTGAAATCATGCAAACACGTCTACTGCATCACGTCAAAAATTTGACCCCTTACAAAAACCTTCTTTACAAGAATGCTCAATTGTTTCCTAAAAGGTAGCATTCCTCTAACACATAGTATGTATATTTTCAACTATATTGATTTACTCATAGAGTGAAACACTACATGCTCACTAATTTTTTTGTATGACCACCCAGTCGGAAGTTCCTACATACTACCAACCGAGAAATTGGTTAAAACGCGATCCTACGAGTTCTTTCATTACACATTTAACTAAGGTGTAATCCAACTCTTTTTTTACCTATTATCATATGGATGATGAAATACTTTGGAAACGAACAGTCGGACCTCTTTTCGAGACGTATTACGGCGAACAACACATTCATATGCACGTGTTATTGCTACCTCCAAACATGTGTGCCGTTTGTTGAATGCTAAAAAAAATACTTGTATGAAGCAAAATAACTGCAGGGCAAAGTGAATGAACTAATTATGAATCGTTTCATGAGCCATTAAAATTTTACAAATAAACTGGGAGTCGAGAACACCCATTCAACAGAACTCTTTCGAAACAGTTTTTTTCTCGTTTTTGGTGAGCGGAATACGTAATAACAGTGAAAGACCACAGATCACTTGTTTTCATCTAGAAAACAAAATAATGTACTAGAAATATTGTGGTTGTTTAAAATTCTACATGACGCCGATGAAACTGACCATTTGCAAAGCTGACAGAACTGTAAGAGGAAATAATTGTTTTTGTGAATATAAATGCCATCAATATCTCATTTCTACATAACTTTTTACGACACTAGTAGTTATTACTTATATTTGTGATTTTATAGAATTTATTTTATAAAACTCTGCTTAAGCGAAAGCGGTTGGCATTTCTTCACAGTTTAATGGTGTTCTTTTGTAAACGGAAAATCAAACACAGAAGTAATTGAAAATCACATGTGTAAAAAATGGTTGACATCGTTAAAGTGTCATGTAGAATTTTAACCGTTATCTTACTCTAGTGCTTTTGGTATAATTTAAGGAAACTAGAAGACCAGGTAAACCTGCGGAAATCATAAACAGAAAAAAAAGATGAAAACTTCCGACTTCTTAACTATTCCTAGTAAGTATAGGTGATGTTGACAAGAATACCATCATATTGATAATAATACACCGACTTGCGGCACATAAAAAGCTGCTTATTGGGTATAATCTACGCACAAATAAGGGTATAAATTGTCTCCCCAATTTAATGGGTGTAAATGGTGTTTACTTGGTGTTTAATAATTATCGTTAAAGACGTTTCCTCAAATACACTATGATGATATTGCAAGAGAATGGCGTATACCTCAAAAAATGATATAATTAATACTCACACTAATACAAACAGAACTACCAGTATTTAAAAAAAACTAACTCAGAAGAAATTCCTTTTCGCGAATTCTCTATCGCGAACTACTCTATAACTTCCGTATTGAGTAACCCAATTAAATTACCCCACTTTAGTACGTTGCTGAGTGAGTCATATGTTATTGAGCATACCTATCATACCAGATTCGGAACTTCCGCGCAAAGTTTCAACTCCGCCGGACAAACCAGGGCGAAGCCTTTACCAAAGCCCCTTCTGCCCCAAGAGCAGGTAGGCAGTAGGGCGACAGCATTATTCGAATGAGGAGGCATTCGAAAGCGTTCCCTTTAAAATTTATGGCACTTCCAAAACTTCAATCGTATTCCAAAACTATAAAACCGCATGATATTGCATGCCTGCGAGCGCAGACGGTGCTAAGACCGCTGGCTCGATCGCCGGTGGGGGGGGGGCGGAGGGGAAAGCAGCAGCGATCCCACGCCGGATCATCTGCGTAAGAGTAGTCTATCGCCGAATCGTCACGCGAAGGGGGTACTAAACGGTTCCCCAGAGACGGGGGTAAACGGGCCCTCGAGGGTGAGGGTAGTAAAGGGGAGAAGGGAGTCGCGTAGGCAGAGCGCGGGGTGCGCGTGGGGGCCCCGCGGCCCCCCCCCCTTCCACGAGGGATGCGCTGGGAGTGGGCGGGCTCTCGCGCGTTCCCCGGGCAATGGCCGGGAGAGAAATGGGACGTGGCCAGTTTCTTATGGGTTATGAACGTAATATAAATGCGCGTTTGATATCGTGGGATGCGAAAAACGGTGGTCGGACCACGACGGGGACTGAGGCAAAGAGCTTTATTTTTTATGTTCGGATCTGCGAGGCTTCTGCTGTTTGTTCTTTTCAAACAAAAGTAGTTTGGGTTAGTGTAGTGGTATATTTGGGGGCGTGAATGTGTGTGGAAAGTACATGTGATTCAATGTTAGCACTGTTCGAAATTGAAGGTTTCACAAATATAAAGGGAAATTTTAAACAAGAGAAGTCAATGTAAATACGGAGAGAAAACGAACAAGAGGCTTTTAAGGTAACAGTGGTTTTTATCTCTCTTTAGGAATGTAACAGGCCAGAAAATGCAAGTACTCATATACCAGAAAACGCAAATGATCAATATATTGATGATTTAACGATACAAAATCTTGATTTTATCGAATAATTTGTCATAATTTATTGATATCTAGAAGTTTTTTAGTGTTACAATACCTTCACTTATGCTGGAATATACTTCTTTCGCAAACTATCGTGTTGTATTGTTGCTCTTAATAACTATCATCCAATTTTCAGGCTTTCATTATTCATTTCATATACACTACACAAGCTATTTTTTCAAATGAAATAGCAGCAAATGAATGGGTCGAAACAAGAGTAGTGGTACCTTACCTTAGGTATAAGTGACATTTTATAACTTCTGAGAAAAGTATTTGTTTAATTCAGTATTACTGTATAGTCGTGGGGCATTGTTTCACCATTAAATCCACGACATTTTAATTGTTCATTAAAATCACATAATTACGTTGCAACTGAAATATAGCCTAAAGTAAACCTGTTTTTCTCAGAATTTATAAAATGTCACTTATACCTTTCTGATTTTCACCAACTGTCTGACTGACTGACTGTAAACCACTGACTGACTGCTGAACTGACTGACTACAAGACTCTAAACCGATTGTCACACATTTCAACTTCACTTGTCTCTAACTTTTTTGAGACTGGATCATAAAACGTGTCGCAAAATAGCAGTATACTCAAAAAACTGAACTGTCATAAATATAACAGTTTCGTAGACCAATATTATGGTTAATGTCAAGATTTTCAATGATGAAAGACACTTTCACCTTTGAATAACTGAGTTTTTGTCTTCGTTGTGGTGCAGTGGTTAAATATTATGAAGGGATTTTTAACTGACTATAACATTTTTCCAGTGCTCATTGCAGAGAGTATTTTCTTCCACGATAGGGAATCATTATTAATTTATGTGTTGAGGTTTCTAAACATCCGAAGCAGTTATGAATTGGTCTCGGATGTCCCGGTGCTGAAAGTCGTGATTGCTCAAAATGCAATAATCTTGAAATTAAAAGTTTTAATTCTAATTGGTATTTCTGATCCTGAGAATGAACGATGGGTACGATTTAAGAGTGAAATTGTAATTTATTTTAATGTTCTGTTGCTTTATATCAGGAAAGCATTAATTACTAAGTGCGTTAATTTTTGTTATCAATGTCATCTTGATTATACCTATCAATTGCGGGTTCATATTCGTCTATAGATCCCCAGCCGTCCATTCGATCATTAACCCCTCTCAAAATTTCATCGACCCCCAGGAGGTCGACCGGCATAGGTCGATAGGCGACGCAGGGTATCAATTGATGTTACTCAAGTGCCTCTGATTAGGAGGTCCTAGGGTTCGAATCCCGACTAACTGGACAGCTCGGTTGAATTCGATGGCTGTCTAGAAGGGAATTCTAGCGGCCGGCTGCTCTGGTCAGTAGTTTTCCCTGGTTTCCCCGTTCAACACCAGGCGAATGCCGGAGCAGTACCCTAAGAAACGGGTCGCGGACGGCGCACGATTTTTCCTTCCTCTTCCTTGCATATCCTTACCCCTCACACACACTCACTTGTACTCGCATGCACTACACTACTATACTTGACGGGACAACATGCGGGAGCTTAGAGCGAGTCTCGGTTGAGGCGAATCCCTAAACAGTTTGGGGAAATCCTCGCAATGCGACATAGGTCGGTGCCGGGGCTCACCATCGAGCGTGGGAAGATAACTGCCTTCCCACGCGATAAAATCCATACACTACACCTACGAAACTAATGTCCTTAGTTAGCGCGCCCGGAAACACTGATCAATCGATCAATCAATCCACCCAGGGGATCGACCCCGACCCCGTTCGGAACCGCTGGTCTAGCGAAACTAAAATACAGACAATCCCGCAAGTCAACTCAGTGCATGTGTCCTCAGGCAAACCGGACCCGCTCCACAACTGCAGCATCCTCAACCAAACGGCGGAGTCGCTGCACGTGGAGTGCGCCGAGGGCTTCGACGGCGGGCTGACGCAGCACTTCATCATGGAGGTGTACGACGCCGACACGCAGACGCTGGTGCGCAACGTCAACTCCTCCGCGCCCGTGTTCGCCGTCAGCGGCCTGCAGTCCGGCCTGGGCTTCGACATCTCGGTGTTCGCCGCCAACGGCAAGGGGCGCAGCGACCCCGTGCCGCTGCACGCCTACACGCTCAAGGCCGCCGAGAAGCGCACAGGTAACCACCGCATCACTAGTTGTTTATGACTTTATTCGGGTAAATGTCGTTTATGAAGGTTCCCGCGAAGCGTGCGGATGACCGCTAACACTATTTACTACTTGTGTAACGAAAAATCGAGAAGAAAACAGGTGACCACGACTACTAGTTGTTGGTTTTTTTCGGCTCAAAAACTGTTAAGAAGGTCCCCGGGCGTGAGGATGACCACTAGCACTATTTATGATTTATGTAATAAAAAATGGCCAAGAAACGACCAGGTGATCACAACTAATTATTGAGTTAATTTATATATTTTGTATAGAAATCAGTTATGAACTTCCATGGGAAGTGCGCGGATGAACAACTAACACAATTTATATTATTTATGTAACAAAAAATCTCGTGTCGTGAAGCGAACAGGTGTCCCCAACATCTACTTATTTATTTTATCTATTTATTTGGCTAATATCGGTTATGAAGTTCCTCGGAAGCGGGCGGACGACCACTAGCGTTATTTATTATTTACTTAACAATTAATCTCAAGTCTTTTGGTAGACGAGCAGACGACCACAACTATTTATTGTTTATATTATTTTGTACAACAAAATCGGTTGCCAAAGCCCTGAGAAGCACGAATGACCACGCGTATTATTTATTTATTACTTCTGTATTTAACAAAGATCTCAAGTCTGTCGAGAAGCGAAAAGTGGACCACAACAACTACTTATTGTTTTATTTATCATATTTATTTGACATCCAAATCAATTATCGATAACCCTACCACATAGATGACTTCAAGCACTATTTATTTATTACTGATTTATTTATCCAAAAATATTATCTAGACTGTCGAAAAGCGCACATCAATGTGACCACAATAACTATTATTTAACGTCAAAAGCAATATCCTCAAAATAAACAAGACGCAATCAGCTGACCACAAATATGTATTGTTTATTTTTGATCAATGTTAGTGTTCGAGGTTCGCAGGTGACCACAAACAGTACTTATTTATTATTATTTTATTGGTTTATCAGAAAAAATAGTATGCACAAAGCCGTCCAGAAACGCACGGGTGGCCAACCCAACAATGTATTTATTATTTACTTATTTATCATAAAAAGAAGTGTACTCCAGACTACCAAGAAGCGCAGAGCTCAACTATTACCTTTTACCATATTTTTTTAAATTTTTATTTTACATCAAAAAACAATATGTATCGTTTTCGTAAGGAAAAGTACATGTACAGAAACAAAGCAATGAAATCAAAGAGATTTGCAAAGAATTAATACCATTACTTTCAAAGGAATATTATTGTCGTTTTTGACACTCAGATTATTCTCCTATATAAAAACGATTATGTAGCAGGGAAAACATACTTGAAGGTTGCCCGTGCGTTTTATCTTCACGTTTTTAATCACGTCTGGTGAAGTGTACGGGAGCTGTGTACAGAAGTACACAGCTTAATACCAAGCGATACCCGATCTGAATGAACGTTTAGTCTTGTGTTAATATTGCCAATTAACAACAAGATTGTGAGTGAATGGCTCCTTGCCGTAGCCGTTGGAATCAATGTGATCACGAGTCTGTATAGGTTCCGGAAATCTTGGCCAATATGTGATGGAAAAATGAGGTTCGCGGCAGGTTTTTGCCTGTTACCTGTGTCTTTGACTACACTATTACTTCATGATTTATGTTATCGTCATTATCATATGTTCATCTCATCATTCCTATGAGTAGGTATGTGAAGACACGGATTTATGGGATCATTAATAAAAACTACCAAACAGTAGAAGAAATTAAATACCAGTCCTGGGAGTTGTCTACCGATATTTGTTATTCATAATGTATTAATAAAGGTAATGTAAGAAGCAAAGAGAAATAATACTTATAGTTCTCGCTATTTCCATCATAATGAAAGTTGAGGTGTATTATCAGTTCCCCACCTAAAAAATAGATGAAAAATTGGAGAATTTAATAATGTACTCGATTTTGTTTGAATATCGTCTCCCGGAAGACTACACAACTTCTCACTGCATTCTCCCTGCTACGAGAGCGAACCTTTATCTACGTTCAATGCAAAAGGTCCCTAAGAAATTGCGTCACGCAGCCTTGTACTGCTGATATTGTTCACGACGATCCCGAACCATTCTCCTTCATCTCCCAAGTTTTGCAAATGATGTACATAATCTGCATCAAGTTAATTCTTCACCTACTTACAGGCGGTGGGAAAATACTATTTTCGAACAGCTTTCTCTTCCTAACATACCCGATCTAATTTAACGAATTATTAATAAATGAACTATTACTTAACCCTATTTCAATACTCGTATTAGTTACTACCCTACAAATGAATACACATAGGTTTAGAAATGTAACTTTCTTGCATTGGAATGCCAATGGCAAGTTATTTTATATTTTACAACAAATTCGAATTATAACTAAGCGCCCCCTCTGAGCGATTCACTATCCATTTAACATGCACGCCCACCCCTCCACGAAATTCTGGACATTGTGGTAAGTAAACAGTGCAATTTTCCAATTTCCCAAACCCCTGAATTTGATCAAATTCCGACCATTGTGTCGTTTTACACTAAAAGTTCTCCTTCCAGCCTAACATAAACCACTCCAAAAATCATTAACTGGCAAATTTTGGAAGCGCTCGCATACTTCCTAACCCCACATCCTCCCTTCTGTACCAGCCAAACAAACAGATGAGGCCATTGCTGTATTTTATGAAATAGTTAAAACAGCCATGTATAATGTGTAATTTCTAGTCATTCTAGACATACAATCTAAAAATAATACAATGCTCACAGAAATACTGTCATTATTTGAATCTAAACATCATCGTGGCAAGACGTCTCTCACGAGAATGTAGACTACCACATCTTAAACAAATGTTAAATATTTTTTGTAAAGTCTATGATGCGCGAGAACAATTAGGATTCCAAAAATAATTAAGGTATATAGATATTTCATCAGACGTCCATGTACAATTCTCCCGCAAGCACCTAACGATATAACGCCTTTTACTACCTACTAAAAAGCACATTTGCTGGCTATTTTTCTCATTATCCGAGACGAAATCCAATTTCAGACCCGTCTGAAATTAAGATGTTAAAATAACAAAGTCACAAATTGTCTTCCTTCTTCACTAAAATCAACATAATTACCCTCTGTCAGTTTGTATTTAGGTCCAACCACTTCATTCAATTACTGAGGATTAGGGATGATATAGGCAAAGAGACTCATAGTACACAATTTATTAAGATTGCCTTCTTACACATTGCTCAAGCACTTAACCGTGTATGGCACCAGGACCTGTTGTTCAAGCTTCGTAGCATAGGAATTCCGGGCTACTTGTTCAATATAATTCATAGCTTGATATCTGATCGTTCTTTATCCCATCATAACTAATGATTATACTGGTGTCCCCGACAACTGCCCACGGTAGGCCACGACCTCGAGGCTCTCCTTATCTGCACTATTTAATGCCTTCACTGCTGACATTCCCTCAGGAGCTAACCACTCGGTAACATTATACGCAGAAGACAGAATACATCATATTAGCAACTATCTCTTTCTCCCATTCAATCTACTTGAAACTCCTTTCACGATTGAGCCTTTACCTGGAGACTAAACTTGAACTCCTCAAAGCGCGAGGCAACGCTTTTCACGTTACGGCGAATTAATAAATCTTAAATTACTTAAAACACTATTATGCTTTGAACCCCATGAAATAAACCTACCAAATATCGAGTTCTTCTTGATACTCAACACTCATAGAAACCCAGAATCTTCAATTCGATTTACTCACAATGGCCCAATTCATCCTTCCAATAATCCATCCTTCAAATATTTTTTTTCATTAAAACCTTACCGACTACTGCAGCCGTAGGTAATTCTACTTGGAAAATCGTACTCTGAAAATAGGATCAATCCAGATTTCCCATGGTCCTCCACTTTCTCGCTTTACCTAATGAGAGTGGGAGTATTCCCTTACCCTTCTATTCTAACAAGTGTTTTCCATCACCGGTATTTTCCATCATATCATTCACGAAATCTGTAAATCATAATGAGGACTTCAGAAGGAGTGACCTCGCACGGATTAAGATTAATGTTGTGTTAGATGTGTAATAATTATTTTCAAAACACTCTTGTAAAGTGCTAAGCAGCTGTGTAAGAAAATTGTGTAATAAAAAACAACTAATCTATTTAACAAGAAGAGGATTCCGTATTGGTGGATAAGAAATTCCTCTATGGTGTGCCCCTTAAGTGAATGCATTCATCCTTGTGTTACATCACCTTACTGCAATGAAACTCATTCCCACCATTGCTTATCTCTCCGGAGCTGCACTCCCTCGTATTTTACGGTCTTGGAAGTGTAAAGTGCTGTTCTACAGTATAGCTAGAAACTCGTGGTACCAAAATATCTACTCTTTTCTAATTAATATAATTTTATTTTTTGTGACGAGGAATAATAATATATTTTGTCGTTAACTATTTATTCTCAATCCTTTTCGTTTATCATCAAAGTTACTTCCATATATGTCACTTAAGTTGTTGTTTTTTTCAGTATATTTCTTCATTGTTTGTTTAAGCAAATGGCTTGAAATGCATACCGCTTGGAAAATGAGAGCAACTATTACCGAATTCTGTGATAACTAAAAACATTTTTCTCACAAAAATGTTTGTGATCATTCCATTACATGCATAGTAAACCAACTTTGTTCATGAAGGTGGTCTTTTATTAGGGTTAGAAATTCTGTCAACAATAATTCAACCGCCGTTTGAAACTGTTCAGATTTAATCAACGTAAAATGATAGTTAATTTCAAAGGTAGTCAATACCTGACAAAACAGCAGACATCGAATTAGGTAAAAAGTTTACAGAGGAAAATTCATACACGGAATCTGTGCATTTGGCTTTAAGCCATGTTTGTGTCGCATGCAGCCTTGCCAACAATATTATGTCTTCCATTTTTCATTTGTGATAGTGCTGGTTTAATAAAGCCAATTGCATATCGCTTGAATACGTTTCGTTCAAGATTGTCTTAGCTATCTTCACGGTCTTGTAAGAAACGTACTATCAGCCCAGCCAGCCATCCAGCTTCTCATATTTTAGTATAACGTTTTCTTCTGCTTTTTAATCTCAGGATTGGTAATATAAATCATCAGCATTCATAGTCTTTTTAATTTGCTCAACAAAACTTTTTTTTCTTTGCATTACTTTGCATTCTAATTTACAGCTGAATGTTTTTTCTACTTAAAACCACAAACAAACGTAAAATACTCAACTATTTGTTGTTGTTTATTCTCTTTAATGTTATAGAAGTTTTCGCTTAATCATTTTATCTAATGTTAATGCTTATTATTTTATTCTGTCTGTGTCTTCTTCCACGTTGTTTATTATATTAATTATACAATTTTTAAAACCATTAACATTACTGGAGCAACAGTTAGTGCATTGGTCAGGTGTTTTGGAGAGAAAAAATTAAAAGTGATCCGATCAGGTTTATTCCTACGACATTTCTTTTACAATTAGCTGGTTTTAATGTCTGTATTATAATTTATAAAGACTTGATTTAAAGTAGTGGATACCTTGTAGTCGACGAGGAGCAGATCTCACGTTGATTCAAAGTTATCAAAAATATCTAAACGTAATAAAAATATCATTGAAAATTACAGTGTCATATTCTCTCCTCTGGACATTACTACACAATACAGTTGTACAGCATATTTTACTCTTCATAACTTTCAGACATTTCTTACCGAAATTCGACTTGTAAGTTGTCCTTAGTAACATTAGTCATTTGTTCATATATTTTATCAAAATATTCATAATTCGTTGTTTTAGTGCCAAACAAATTGTAGAACATGGAAGTAACCAGGAGAAATCAAGACAAGAATACGTAGGAGATTGGCTATTGACAATCTGGTTTCTTGTACTGATCCAGTCAATTTTCATGTAATAAAAACCCTAAATGGATGAATAAAATAGCGTATATGCACGCTCTACAGTATACCGTCACGCAAAAACAGACTGAAGAGCGCAATGCGTGTTGCCTACCTGACAGGAGATCAAGTCTCCTGTTACGATAATACTGCATATGATAATACTGCACCTATATTTATTTACTCTAGAAGCACATCACCCCAGATCACAAAAACATTCACTCGCCTAATTATATTTCGACAGCATTACGTAACCCGAAGCTTCTCGAAGAGACCGAAAATAGGACAAAAATTTCATTTTTATGCTCTTCATTGAAGTCTAGAATACACACCACTTCCATTAGTTCATAGGCTTATTAAATGTAAATACATGACTTATAGGATATACAGTGAAGTTACTGTGGCCCTTGTGTTCATTGCTTCGTTGTCAAACTTAAGATACGAGTAATTGACACCGTCTAGTTTCGTAGTGCGGGTTGCCTATCTGTTACATTTAAGCTGCTGCAACCCAATAAAACGTTCGATATCTCAAAAATCACCTAATTACTTTCGTAGGAATCATAAGTAGAACAAAGATGACATATAAGGTCATAATTCTTTACAAAAATGTTGTAAAAATTGGAATTTAAAATATTCCGTAATTTTTTTGTCAATTTCTTTAATAACTTAACTCCTGTTACTTATTCTTAGTACCTTGCCTTAATCCACGGACTTAAGAAAACATCAAAGATCGTCGAAATCTCTTTCAAAGATGTAACTATGGTGAACATTTTCTTTAACTTCAATAAATTGGTCAGTTGTCTGTATCTTCGTGACAAAATTTCGTAAACTATGTGAAAGAGTAAAAGTGCTCACGCCCCCTATGCTTCTAGTCGAGAAGTCGTTAGGGGAGGGGAAGATATAAGATGCAACGATCGTCAAAGGACTCTAGTGCTACTTGTCCCCGTTGTGCAACATTTCTAATAATTAAAAAACGTTTAATCATTTCTCGACAACAACCTTCATCGAATTACGCAATATAACAAAAAATGTGTGACAGTGGATGGAAGTGCTAGGTCCCACTCTCGGTCATCCGCTTCTGTCGCTACGACCTACAAAGTGCTTCCGCGCCGGGACGCTATGAAGCCGATATCGTCACACACACACACACAC